TTTTTTTTTCTGCTTTCTTTCTTTTAAATCTGAAATTTGATTCAGCTATTTGTTCATAAAGTAATTGTAACAACAGTGATGACTGATATCAGTGTTGGTGAACGGCTGTATATTGGTGCATCAGATGAGTTTGTGAAACGACTGTGATTGAAGCGGCAGACACATATTTGACACGACAGAACGATGTGAACAAAAGATCCGATGCACACAGCTCATCAACACATGCACACGCTTCTCAACATTACAAACACACTGACATTATATGACATTATGAATATAAAATCATGTTAATAAAATGTCCCCATCTGTGTGATTCTTTTGAACCCCATTGACTTTGATTGTACTCTAAATATCTGTTTTATGTTCCACAGAACAAAGAAAGAAAGTCATATGGGTTTGGAACGACATGAAGGTGAGTAAACAATGTTGATTTTGGGGTGAACTGTCCCTTTAAGGTGATACAGGCGTTCTCTCAATGTTCTGAGTGCAACGTTAAAAGGCTGTGAAACACCTGACCATTAATGCTTTATTTTTTCTTTTCTTTTCTTTTCTAAATGTATAAATATTTATCAATTTGATTATACTTAAATTTAAGGCTGTTTTTAAGTTGTTGTTTTTATTATGATTATTATTAATACAAATATTAAACTAAATAAGACACATTACAGTAATAATATTTCATATGTTTAATATTTTTATTAATAATAATCATAATAAAACAACTTGCATAACTACTGTAATATTTCACTGTAAAATATTAATATTTAAGAAAAATATAATAATAATAGTTTTATTTTACAGTGCAACTATGAAATTACAGTACTAATATTTGTCTGTCTTAAATTCTTTATTTTCAAACGTTAAACCAACAAAATTTTATTTTGATGAAAAACCACAGAGTGCAACGTTAAAAGGCTGTGAAACACCTGACCATTAATGTTTTATTTTTTCTTTTATTTTTTTTTATTTTCTTTTCTAAATGTATAAATATTTATCAATGTGATTATACTTAAATTTAAGGCTGTTTTTAAGTTGTTGTTTTTATTATGATTATTATTAATACAAATATTAAACTAAATAAGACACATTACAGTAATAATATTTCATATGTTTAATATTTTTATTAATAATAATCATAATAAAACAACTTGCATAACTACTGTAATATTTCACTGTAAAATATTAATATTTAAGAAAAATATAATAATAATAGTTTTATTTTACAGTGCAACTATGAAATTACAGTACTAATATTTGTCTGTCTTAAATTCTTTATTTTCAAACGTTAAACCAACAAAATTTTATTTTGATGAAAAACCACAGGAAACCCTAGCTGTAAAACACCTGACCATTAATATTTATTTGATTTTATTATTTTTATATTCATAAATTTGATTATACTTACAAATTTAAGGCAGCTTTAAGTTGTTTTATTATGATTATTATTAATAAAAATAGTAAACAAACCAAGAAACATTACAGTAGTAATATTTCTTATTATGATAAATTTCTTTAGTAATAATAGTCATATCTCTACTGTAAAAATGAATATTTAAGAACAATTTAATTTTAAGTTGTTTTATTATAATTATTATTAATAAAAATATAAAAAATAACACATTACAGTAGCAATATTTCTTATTAATAATTAATTAATAATAATTACATTACTACTGTGGAAAAACATACTATGCAAATATTTAAGAAAAAAAATAATGAAATAATGTTTCACTCCTAAATGCAGGTTAAAGTGACTCTGAAAACACCGCTCACGTGTAAATGAACATAGTGCTGCGTTTCTCTCTGAAACACACAGTGCATATATTTATTTAACTAAATCGCAGCCTTTGCCATTTGATAATCGCACTAAGCTGTATTGCGTTTTTGGTTTTATTTTGAGTGATCATGTCCGTGTAGTCGACTCTCTCCTGACAGGCAGCAGTTTGCATATCAATGCATCTATTATTGTCCTTGCACTCAGTTCTGAGTGTGTTAAAGATGGCATCGCCATGGTAACGGAGTGGGAAACTGGCATCATCACTGGTACTGGATGCCACAAACCAGTCGACGGCTGCTGTCTGTTAGACACTTCATGGTGCATTTCATGTATTTGTCTCAGATGTTTCTCCTAAAATTCCTTGGGAGAAATAGTGCCTTATTGTCATATAGCTTTACAATTATTAGCTTGAAAGAAATCAGTGAGAACTGTTTGAGTTCATACCGAGATCTCTGACTTTTCATTTTTGTCTTTGGTATCTTCAGCAAATCTGAGCTCAGTTTGAGGCATAGTTGAGATCTCTTCTGAAACTCTAGAGGAGACTCGTATGAGATTACTGGGCTCTTTTTCTCAGACTTCAGTAAAAGACTCAGTTTGCTCTCTATTTAATTTCATTACTGATTAGGAGAAGCAATTGAGATGTTAAAGAGATCTTCTGTGTGATTTTTCTGTGTGAAGTTATCATGTATGGAAGCTTGTGTCCATTACAGAATAAAAAAGTAATTACGACTTATCTCTTTTAACTCAGAATTGCAAGATTTAAACTCAAACTCAGAATTACAAGAAAAAAATTAGAATTGCGATATATAGTTACAATTGTGAAATATAACAAATTCAGAATTGTGAAAATTAAACTCAGACTCAAAATTACAAGAAAAAATTTAAAATTGCGAGATATAAACGTTGAATTGCGAGATATAAACTCAAACTCAGAATTACAAGAACAAATCATAGAATTGCAAGATATAAACGTAGAATTGTGAGATTTAAACTCAAACTCAGAATTACAAGAACAAATAGAATTGTGAGATGTAAATGTGGAATTGCAGGATATAAACTCAAATTTAGAATTGCGAGATATAAACTCAAACTCAGAATTACAAGAAAAAATTATAATTGCAAGATATAAATTTAGAATGGCCAGTTATAAACTCAAACTCAGAAGTACAAGGGGGAAAAAATAGAATTTGGGAAATCTAAACATAGAATTGCGAGATATAAACTCAGAATTGCGGGGTTTAAACAGACTCAGAATTACAAGAAAAAATTTCGAATTGCGAGATATAAACTCAAACTCAGAATTACAAGAAAA